CGATGCAATCGGTCTTAGGGATCGTGAAGGCATCTTTCAAGAAGCAAATCACTTCGTGCTTGACTCATGCCCGTTTGTCCGGTCTGTTGGTCTTGATGTCAGCAATGGTATGGGGTTTTTGTGGTTGCCCAATCAACTCCCATGCTATATAAAAGACTGCAATCAATTCCAGTTCCAAACGGATGAAAGCAATTTGATTCGAGCAACGAGGGTCGATCAGTATGTACCATATTTCTCCAGATCGTTTGATTTCATTCCAGGCGTACCAGGTGAGGTGGAACCTGTTGAAGCAGAACCCGAGGTCCGGTCTCCTGAAGGTGCGATTCCGCATTCAGTTGCAGACGACATTCGTGGCGTTGCTCCAGGTGAGGCCTTGCCAAAGGTCCCTGAATCTGAGAAGTTCGTGCGTGAACGGGAACTTGCACTGTCCACCAAGCATTGCATGACACATTTCCCTAAGTCCGCACTTTCTGATGTTTGCAATCGTGCTAGGCTGTACTCAAAACGCATCAGATCCCATCGTAGAGCAGACGAAGAAAGTGATCTTCCTGTTCCTGAAGCGTTCGGCCAGCAAATTGCATGTGATCACATGATCGTTTCAAAGTCTTCGTCGGGGAAGGAATTTGTTGTTCTTGTGGTGATGGACTTGTTCAGCAATGTTTTCCAAGCATACCCTCTGGCAACAAAAGACACTGATTCGGTCAAGGAAGCCCTGAACCATTTTGTGGGTGTAAAGGCCAAGAACCCTCAAACCATTTGTAAGTCAGACTGTGCCAAGGAGCTTCTGAAAGCCGTTCGTTCACTCGGTTGGTTGTCAGACGCATCATTGCCTAGGAGATGGCCTCACAACAGTGTACTTGAAAGACAAATCAGGTCCTTTGAAGAGTCTTGCAGAAGCATGCACTTGCAAGCAGGATTCGCTGTGTTCCCAAAGCTTTGGACCCTGACATGCCAGTACACAGCTGTTTCCATGAGCATCGAGCATTGGTCAAAGGCTTTTGGTTCTGAGTTCAAGGGTGCAGATTACATTTTGGGTCAGTTGGTTTTCTATAGAACAAAGTTTCAAGAGAAGTCAAAACTCGCCCCCAATTCTTCACCAGCCCTAATGGGAGGTTGGAAGCTTGAGTTTGGGTGTCGGTACAAAGGTGTTTTGAGACTTGTGGATTACAACTCCTTGAAGCAAGGTCATGTTTCCATTGTGGTCGCCCCGGATCAAGAGGTTTATGTTCGTGATGAGCGTGTGTTTCCGTTGAGAGATCTTGCAGAGAAGGCATTGAATGACTTCTCGGATCCTGATGTTCGTCAACTCGCTGACGTGGATCCTCTGCCAATTCCTTTCATCGAAGATACCCCAGAGACTAAGTCTAAAGCACGCAGAGTTTACATCACGTACAGTAGGATGCTGAAGATCGGCCCGACCAAGGGATGCAAAGGTTGTGATGCTGATTCGTCTGCACACAATGCCGAACGCATTGCCAGGTATGAGGAAGCATTCGGTGCTGCTCCTTCGACCCCAGCACCTGAGCCTCCGACCTTCGAAATGCCGGAGATCCTAGGAGACTTGATTGACGAAGAGTACACCCCAACTGTCTTGTCAGAGGCCGAAGAGGATGAAGAGGAGATTGTCCCAGAATGTCCTCCGCCCTCTGATGATGAAAATGAACCTGAGGGTGATGAAGCTCGTGTCCATGCAGGCATTAATGCCGTCCTTGCCATGTCTCATGATGCCATTTCCAAGAAAGCGTCAGAAACAATCGTTCAAGAAACGTATGCATCAGCAGTCGCTGCAAGCAATGAGAGCTGTCTAGGAGCAGCTGCAAAGCCTGAGCGTCTACACAGTCAGATCCACAATTCCCCAGGTGGAAAGATTTTGTTTGAATTTGCCTGTGCTTCAGACTCAGCGCTCGGTAGGATCGGTGAGGAGCTTGGAGTTCAAGTTGTAAGACTTTGTAAGGAACACATAGATCTTGCAAGTAAAGCAAACATCGATCAACTTGTTGAGCCAGTGAAACCCATCCCTGGTTGTTCAATCCATGGTTCCATTGAGTGTGGTCCCTGGAGTGCTTGGCAAAGGTTGAATGAGGCAAAGAACCCAAGATTGTCCAACATTCTTCGAGAAAAGCGTAGGGAAAGTGTTTCAATGATGCATTCGTTCATCAGGGTTGCAAACCATGTTCTTGATAATGGTGGTTTTGTGTCTTTTGAGTGGCCAAGGTATTGTTCAGGGTGGATGAGTGAACCCCTAGCTTCCTGGATCACAGAAAGGCAACTGCTGTCTGCCACTTTCGATGGCTGCACCGTAGGAATCACTGCCAAGGACAACAAACCCGCTCGAAAGCCGTGGAGGTTTGTCACGAATAATAAGAGGTTAGCTGATTCTTTGGGAATGTTGAAGTGCACGCATGACAGGCATGCACCCCTTGAAGGGAAGTACACTCGAAACTCAGCTTTCTACCCAGAGCCTCTTTGTCAGATCATGTTGCATGCTTTGTTTCCACATGTCGTCCATGCTCATGTGTTTTGCATGCCGTGCACACCTCGCGTGATTCATTCACATCGGCAGCATGTTGTCAAAGGGATGCCATGTGTTCCCATTGATGTCCTCATGCATGAGAGTGGATGTAAGGAGTTTGTAACACCAGCATTCGTTCATCGTCTGTTAGAGCGTGCTGAATGGAAGGGTCGCCCAGAAGTTTACCTTGCCATTAAAAGCGAGAAAGATGGTTTGGTTTTGGAAGGGACTTGGATTGAAGATGAGATTAGGTCAAAGGCAGACGTGATCAGGGAATTTCCCAATGAAACACTGCATTTCGGAGCCCTAATGGTGATAGTTAGCATAAAGGGATATGAAAAGAACCCAGCTGACTGGAAGATCAAGGCTCGGATGGTTTTCCGAGGTGACGCAGTCAAGGATCAGGGGGGCTTGAGCGCCATCTTCCAAGATCTTGCTGCTTCCGCTCCGAGTTCAATTGCAGCATTGAACACAGTGATAGCCTTTTCAATGATTGAGGGAAACACTTGTTCAACATCCGATTGCGTCCGGGCCTATATTCAGTCCGCACTCGGCACGAAGCATCGAACATTTGTGATGCTACCGCCTGAGCTTGTGCCAGAATCCAAGAAGCACATCCACATGCCTTGCGCGCAGCTGTACAAGAGCCTTTATGGCCATCCAGAGTCGTCGGCGCACTGGCAGGCCCACCTTTTCCAAAATCTTGCAAGAAAAACTCAACGGTGTCGAGTTCAGTGAGATGCCCTCGGTTTTTCGATTCGGTCGTTCTCTAGTGATGAGCGTCTATGTAGACGACCTCACGCTCTCAGGAGCAGCCTCCGAACACGAAGGATTCTGGAAAACCCTCAAGCAGTATATAAATTTAGATCCACCGTCAGAATATGGAAGAGTCTTAGGACGAAACCATAGGCTTGTGTGGTTTCAAGGGAGCAAAGCAGTGGCCTTAGAATCATCTGACTTCGCAAAACAGTGCGTTGAACTGTATGAAGAGCTGGCAAAAACGCCGGTGAAGGCCTATTCCTCGCCCTCATGGGACGATGGAGCCCTGATCCCCGCTGATGACGAGGTCAAGCGACAGCTCTCGCCACATTCGGCCAAATTAATTATGAAGTTGATGTGGCTCTGTCGCATTAGCAGGCCAGACGTCACATTTGCTGTCACTCTGTTGGCAAAACACATTACGGTGTGGTCGGCCAACGACGATAAAAGAGTCGCAAGACTCATTGGGTACTTGCAAAAGACCCATGAATACTCCCCGATAATGTGCATTCGTGATCCGCCAGAGCAGTTGAACTTGTCTCTGTATTGCGATGCCGATTTCGGTGGTGACATTAAATCCATGCGTTCAACCTCTGGATTCATCCTTGCGGTTGCGGGTCCCTCCAGCTTTGCGCCAGTGAGTTGGAGTTCCAAGAGGCAGAGCGTAGTTGCAAGATCGACCACGGAGAGCGAGTTCGTCTCACTTTCCAGTGCCTTATTCTCCGAGGCGATCCCTACCTTGGAGGTATGGCAAGCGTTGATCCCCGGAATGACCCTGAAGGTTTTCGAAGACAATACAGCTGTGGTCTCGATTATCCAGAAAGGTTACTCCAATAAATTAAGGCATTTGAGTAAAACCCACCGCATAAATGTGGCCTCAACTGCCGAAACAGTCAACAATGCTGATGACATCACAGTCCAGCATATCGAAACGACTCAGCAAAAGGGCGACGTGTTTACTAAAGGATTACCGTTGTCCAAATGGGGAAATGCCTTGGAGTTGTTGCAGTTCTCCCTGAGTCCGCTCCCGTCTTATGATGCAGGCAGGAGCTCGCATGACTAGAGCTAAGCAATAGTCAGCCGCAGTTCAAAGCTAAGCTAGATCTGCAATGAATGAAATGGTAAAAGCTAAGCGATAACCAGCAGCAGCTCGAAACTAAGTTAGATCTGCCTCAAATGAAAGTCCGGACAATGCATGCCGCACAGTGCTACTGCCCAGCGTAGCGCCAAACTTGCATGAAGGGTGACTGGCTGCTTGAAGCGCCGCTCCCAAGTTGCCGTTCGTAAGCCTGTTAGGTTAAGCTTGCAGTCTTTCGATAGGAATTGTCAGGTCACAGACGGTTCAAGCAATGAAGCGACCGTCTCAGACCTGGAATACTAGCTGTACATATGTTCATCTCACTATGAGGGGGGACTTGAAGGTTCCCGTGTAAAGTGCACCTCATATGTATAGACACAGTTCATGAACATTGTACTTTTGGCTCAAGTGATAAAAAGGCCGCAGCCGCTGCCACTTCGCGGACACGGCGGTCTTTACTGTGAGTTGGTTTCTTGGTGTTGTTTGTGTTGGTGTTCCGTTTTTCAACGGTTCAAGTGGCGGCGAGTCCACTCAACTTGAGCTTGAGAAATGAAAGGTTTAGGTACAGACTCAAGTGATTGAGAGCTGGAAGCAGCTCGTGCCAAGAGCTGCCTCTATCAAAACGAGGGGGCCAGCTTCACAAATTGCAAGGCGTGGTTGCAGCACGGCGGATACCAATGCGACATGTGCTTAAACCCGGACATTCGCCTGGGCTACCAACATGCGTCGAGCTTAGCTTGAGCACAGTGGACGTTTGTCACTCGTTGCTTTGCATCCCTGCAAAGATTCCCTGCTTGTATCAGCCACATTCAGCCACCGTGGCTCCTAGTGTAAGGTTTTGGAAGCATGTACAGGTTTCGTGGCTTTTGGTGGACGGTGCCTCCATCATGTTTCTGTACCCCGCCAAACTCACCTTGTGGACTCAGGTCACCGAAGACAATGCCAGGGACCACTCAAAATTGCTGGAGCAACGTACTGGCTATGCTTTTTGCTTGCAAGGTGAAGAAACATTCTGGCCCAGTGCTGGTGTTGAGCTTGTTTTGGCCAGCTTGAACAGAGCATGTGGGTAAAAATCAAAGCCAAGCTTGCCGGTGTGTAGCAAGACCATCAGGCTGAGTCACGACGATGGTGACAGAGGAAGAGAGAGTTATGGATTGCGCATTGGACTATGTTGGACCGAGGATTTGTGCGCAGGTTGCGCTGCACAGCACGTGGCGGCAAATCAGCGTAAAATCAAGCAGTGGGTTCACAGTGGCTTGGCTTAATCGCATGTCAATACCGTCATGGCAAGCTTTGAAGTCAGAGGATGTCAAGAGCGCCCGTCCCTCCGAAATATGCAGGGTGTTTAAAGGATGTGTTTGTGGCAGAACCAGGAGCAAGAGTTTCAATGGAACAAGACCTATAGGGTGATAACATGCAATGGGGTATGTAACAGGTCGTAACACGCAATGAGATGAAGTGCGATACGGTCGTGTGATGCGTGATGATTCTCATTGGCAGCGACGGCTCTACAAATTACAACTTTTCCATACTTGTCACTCACAGATATTGTTTCTTTTGGACTATTACTATTATTATTATTTGGATATAAAATACAGCAAAGTAGATATTTTACAAAGCTAGAGAGTTGTCATGAGGCTTTTCAGGGGCCTTGACTTGTCCGACACTTTTTTTCTCACGAAATCCCCAACTTTTTGGTACTTGTCCTCTCTCTAATACTTTCTTTGTCGAAGCCTCTACGTTCTACTCGTGCACAAATCTTGAGACATCTCCACTTGTTTTGTGTACCTACCGAGTGCCTCGCAGCCAATGCACTACATGTTGAAACCCTCAACCGAAATGAGACTGCATACTTCAAGTAGCCAAGCGACCTCACGCAAGATAGCTGCACTACCACAACTGCAGCAGCCAAACACTGACTCACAGAGCTCCTTGAAAACAAAAAAACGGCACCTCGTTCCAACCGTGTCCGGTTTAGCCAGGGTCGCAGAGGTATATGTGCTGTTGCCGCCAATAACGTGCACGGTACTATACGGTAATTAAACAGAACCTTCTTGGTTGGCTTTGGATGTAGTAGTGATTGATTGATTTGTAAGGTATATATTCGTGGCTCTGGGGTGCGGTTCTGAAGTTGACCAACTCCAAGACACATGGTCCAGTGTGCGTTTATTCAAAAAAATTCACAAGGAAACAATGTGCGCACAAAATACACTCCCACTTGGTTTTTTCCCCAGATAGCGAAGCTATAGGGGTTCTTACTTCTCAATGGATGGGTTCCTGATTGCGGAAATTGGCTGCCGCTGCCGCTGCCGCCTTGTCTCCCAAGCTTGTCTCCCTTCATGATTT